TATTATTAGGGAGGGGGGGGGGGAGACGTCGTTTATTATTAGGGGGAAGGGATTACTCCTAGCGCAGTGCCCCTTTGCTGGTAAGCACAGAATTGTACCGGATTCTCCTAAAGCTGGGAGGAAGCTTTGAAGGCTATGACCTGCGGGGTCCCCGGAACCCTTGAGTGTAGTTGTAGGGCTTGGGCAAAGGCATCGTGACTAGAGGTATATAATATAAGACTCTTGGGGTTTGAATGGTTAAGCTGTACAGTAATGCTCTTGGGATTTATGGGAAAGGTTTTGGCTGGGGGACAGGGTTGGAACCCCATCATGAAGTCCGAGAGCCTCAGCGTAGGGTCTATACCTGCAACTCCAAGTACATAGATTTTGGTAGCAACTACATAAAGCTGCAATGGGGCTTGAGAGTATGGCCCTAACCCCAGAAGCCAAAACCCTTCTTGTCCAGAGACTTGAGGCGGTCTAAGCATGCCTTTCGGCAGGATGCAAACGTTGTCCTTACTTTTAAGGGCCCAAGTTTTTCCATGATACATTGTCTTGCGCTTGACAGGCCTCCTTCGTAGATGCTGTTGGTCTAAGTATACCTTCTGCTTTGCCACTGGCTGGCTCAAAGCTAGTGGATTTGAATTGGTTCTTGGAGTAAGGTTATTCTGCCCGACAGGAGAGTTTCTCAAATCCTATAGTCGCCTACCCGGGGCGATCCCTTTCATCGCTATTCAGCATGAGCACCGGTATGTGTCTTGATGTGAACATGGGCCACGGAATGTTCCAATGCATAGAGTTTACGGTGCAGGCTTCAAAGTTCAGGGTTTAGAGTTTCGAGCGTCGTTCGGTTACAGGCATGCTGTACTTGCTTTGCCTTCTAGGTGTTAGAGGAATGCTGAGACAATCTCCCCCGAGGCTCCAATGTAGTTCCTTACTGGGTAGTATGTTAGTAGACCGTCTTCTACTGTCTTCAAGCAGAGTTCCGGAATCCAGAAGGATGGAACCAGATATCGTCCCCCCTAAAGAAGACAGTATTCTCTGGGGCCCACACTCGAAACGCCTTTGGGGGGGTTCCGACCTCTGTATGTAAATTTTACGAAATTGAGGCTCGATGGTTTCTGGTAATCCCGAGGTTACTGTGATATGATTCCGGGATTAATTGTTTCGGGTTGGTCCGAATCATGTTTGGTCACTAGCGTAATGCACTATAACGTGACAACAACACGCACTACTACCTGCTGCCTAGCCAAGCAGGGAATGGGGAAAAGGATCTATGCTGGGCTCCATACATTCCCCAATACTACCAGTCACTATCACCCATGCCTCCATTCCTTTCGCAGCACCAGGGAGCGGAGCTCTAGCTTCCCCACATTAAAAAGGAGCTTACGCATTTATTTTGTGTCAATCCTCTTACTCAAATCTTACAGCCCTGGCTGCTGTGGAGGTCGTCTGCGGCGGGCCTTAGCTGGGAACCCAGCGAGCTTTCTCTGGGGCTTGGAACCCGTTCCTTCTCAAGAGTTCAAATCAGCTTCATGGGTTCGAAAATGAGTCTTGGTCCCACCTGATGTATACCCTGAAGGGTCCAAGTACGCATGTACTGCATACTTTGGGCCTCAATTAGGTCCTCGGGCCTAGCTGTGAGCCAGTGTCGTTGTTCTGGTTTTTGTCATTCTATCTAGTGGGCTTGCACAGGACGTAAACGCAAGCCGGAGCATTGAACAACGAAATGGATGGTGAAGTGATGCCCCACCATATGACGGCCAAAGCATTACAAACCGATGCTGATGAAATGTATGTGGCAGATAACGGGACACTCTGGCACAAGCAGGAAGCTTTGACATTAGCTGGTTAGCAACAGTTTCATACTTTGGGACCTGAGGCGACACCTTGGTAGGCAGTTGAACCCTAACTTAAAGAAGCACCTAAACTGCTTGGCCCCTCAAACCCAAGAACCACCTCGACCATTTTTGTACTTAGACCCCTGGTGAGGACCCAGAACTGAACGGGCGCCAAGATGCAATGTTTGGGATCGGGCGTAAAGGTTTGAGAGCCACATTCAGGTCGAAACCCTACATCCTAGACCTAGAGGTCCCTCTTCTACATGGAATCCTCGTTGTGGGGACCCCAAATCTATTTCTATGAAGCCCTGCGCTACGAACCTAAGCCCAAAACCCCCAAACACTGAGTTCTAAATCCCAAGCCCTAACCCCTGGTAGCTTTCCAACTGCGACTGTCCGTAGCCCTAAACTAACCTTCAACCCAGAATCCGAAGCCCTGAATCTGATCATGGAAGAGTAAATCTAATCAGGCATTCATCCACATGGGCTTCATCTTCGTTCGAGACAAGGGGTTTAGTGAGCCCGAGCTGCGCTAGGTATGGAGTCATGGAATTCGGAAAGGGTTTAGGGTTTCAGGGTCTAGGAATTTGGGATAAGTTGGGTGTAGGAATCAGCGTTTAGGATTCAGCGTTTAGGGTTTCGGATGTAGAGTTTAGGGTTTAGGAAACTGCCCACCGGTAGCTACCCGCCTGTAGTTGGCTGAAACCGGATTGTGCAAAGGGGCCCTTAAGGAGCCAAAGCCCCCAACCCTAACCCTCATGTGGGCATGCAAAACATTCCCCATAGAATCCCAAATACCTCTTGTTGGGAGTCCCTCCAGTTTTGAGAGCCTCCCATATACTGGAGAGTCGTAGTCAAGGACTCTTCACGGCCCACAGCCTGTCTACAGAGCAGTCATACACAGTGACCCTAAACCCTAAACTCTACATGGATGGCACACTTTTCTGACAAAGCCCAAATTGCAACTGGGAGCCTTTGGGTTCATTATGGTTGGGCTCTCATACAGTCGAGGAATTAAACTCATGGTTATATGAGTAAAGCCTTTGGGTCCAGCAGTCTTTGTCTGTAGGTCATGAGGTTTCGAGACGGACATGCATCAAAATGTGGGCACCCTTCACACGCCCCAAAACTAGTAGGATTCCGAGTACAGAAATCCCGAAAGGGCAGGCATGACTTGAGAAGCCACCATTACTGACAAACTACAGACCGCAAACCCTGAACCCTGAACGGTCTGGAGCCGAGGGGCATGATGCCTTCTACTGTCGGAGCAAAAACTTGGGGTTTGGGGCTTAGGGACGTTTCACAGTCGGCCCTAGTGCTCCCTTTCTCGGTGGTATGATATACCCCTCCAAAAAAGCCACAACGAGCCCAGCAAGGAAGTCCCTGGGTCAGGTTAAGGGCTGACTGTTGCGGGGTCAGTAGCAGAGGCTCGGGAAACATGAATGTTGCTTTGTCTTTACGTTAGGTTTGCGGTCACGGAAGAGCCATCAGGAGCAGTTTCTGCAACTTGTCAAAAGGATTTTTTTATCACCATCCCTAGCCAAGGTCCCCATCAGCGCCTTATAGTCCTTATATATTCACGGGATCCCTAGGGGCCAGTGTTTTGAGAAACTCCCTTTCCTTGTGGTTTCAATACGAGCTTCGGCACGTGATGCTTTGAGTGACCGACAGCTTTCCATCACCCACGGTGACAACTTATCGACTTCATTCGGGATGATTGGACCGGCAGCCCCAAACAACAAGAGGTATGTATATATGTATATATGTATACATATATATTATATATGTATACAGATAGATATTATATATACTAGGTATACGGAGACCCCAGCTTTAAGGGCCCATGCTAATCGCTCATACTTCCGAGCTGAGATCTCGCTGCAATCCAATGTCTAAGGAGTGCACGCCCTGGCCCGTGCAGGCCAACGATGGGCTCAGCCTTGTCAACTGATGTGAAACCTGGAAAGGGCCCTGTAAAGACTGTTGTCATGTCACGCGGAGGGTTATGTGGGATTCCATGTTAGTTTGAGGCAGTCAAATCCAGCAGCGAAGAGCACAGTCCCTCGCTTGAAGGGTTCTCCGAGTTGAAGATTCATCTTATGGGTTATTTCATGTTTCCTGGGGGACTGTTGTAACAGAGTTGTGATGCTGGATTCAACTGACAGCCAGTTTCGAACTAATCAGATGTTGCTGGATCTCCGTCCCCGAAGCTCCCCTTGCATTCAAAATCTCAGGATATCATAATCCCTGAGCGGGATCTTGCATGTATGACAACACCTTGAGCGTCCGAGTACCCATAGCATCCCCTGTATCAGGGGGTGATAGCTTTCATAATTTTGCCCTGCAAAAAAAAAACTCAAAGCATGCTGCCCGAAATGCCTGAACTTGTAATTAGGGAGTACCCTGACCTTATGTCCTGTGCTAGATTCATACCCTCGCATACTCATGCAAGGGCCTAGGACAGCCCGTACTAACGGCCGTAGCAGCTGAAACCGCAATGCTGAACCCTCAGACCTCAAGTCCTAAACCTCGTCGACTTTTTTGAATCCTAAAGCCCTGGACTCCAAATGCCCCAGCCCCTAGACCCCTGAATGCTAAGCCCCTCCCCGAAACCCGAAGCCCCAAGACCCCATCCTACGTCGAGAACCTCCTTACAATGGGGTTGCTAGCTAGGGACAAGCTCCGGCTCTCTAAAAAGGAAACCTCTTATAGTCCCTCATGACTCTACTAGTGTAGATACATCCCTATACTTTAACTACTACTACAAACAAACTACAAACAAACCTTCGTGTTTCGCAATATACCTACCTAGCAGGGTTGGGACATGCTCCTTGCCGGCCGCAACCTCGCAGAAGTCGTGAAGAGGTTGGAGGACCCTAGAGTTCGCTCATTGGGTTCCGGTTTCAGGGTTAGGGTTTATAGCGTCTCAGGGTTTAGGATGTTGGGTTCAGAGTTCATAGGGTTTGGTGTGTCTGCTTGTGGGCTTTATACTTGGACGTTCGGAGGTAGTTCGAAATGCAGTTGTAAATATCCAGAATGAGGTCAAAGCTACAACAATCCTACCAAATACCCAAACGTTAAGATTCCCATGGTTTGACGCCCACGAGATCATGGTATGTGCTGCCTGCCGCCCTATTATTCGGGCATCCAAGCCCTCAACCCTACACCCTACGCTAAACCGCCAACCCTAAACCAGCCTGCGAAGGGCAGCAAGAATCGCTGAATGATGGGGGGTCAATGCTTCTCGCGTCTGTGATTGGGCCGTTCGTTGATCGAATGCAATTTCTTGCCCAATGTAATGTCGAAGCCTGAGAAATTATCAGCAGTATTCCCTTGAACTCGTTTTCCCAAATGATACGATGCATTCCACTACACTATTCGGATTTCACGCCCGCGATACGACATTGGCCTCCCGGTTGTTGAGCCCAAGCTATGAGAATGCAAATCCTGGAACCCCCCAATGTGAAGCTGTCTTGCGACATGCCCACTGGGTCCAGGACGAATCCGTCGTGGTGATCCCATGCTGCAAGTAACGTTTTCCACAGGGTTTCTCTTGGGATAGGTGTCTCCGAACACTACTCTCTAGACCCAAAACGTGGAAGCCCGGGCCCTGGACCCTGAAAGCCTACACCCCAGACTGACGGCCGAATGGCTTATGAATAGGCCCCCTTGTAATGCCATAGTTATATGCCATAAGCCAACCTAAGATGTGTTAGCTTCCATAAACAGAGGGCCCCCAATCTGGACCACAATCAATGTGATGGGGACCCCCTGTGTGGGAACCCTGCATTCATCCCGAACCTCAAGCAGCGGCTTCAAGGGCGGGGGCCTGTAAGACACTGCAATAAGGGCACAGAGTCTATGCTGTCAAGGGGCTTGCATACAGGTATATAGCTCTATCTACAGATGGTGTATTTGGGGATATTGCGGTATACATAATTGTGCTGCGCAAGGTTTACATGGGTGAAATATCCACGTGAGTTTTCCTTGGGATAGAAGGGGCAAAGCTTTGGGGCGTTACTATATCCACCTGCTACACGTCCAAGCATCCATAAACCCTAAGCGCATAGGAGGACACAACTTAAACCTTACTACCTGGACACTCCAAGTTAGTTCCTTTTCGGCTTGCTCTTGACTCTAGCTAAAGGCCCAGCGCGAGGTACCCCAGAGGCCGGACCCCCTTCCAAAGCTATCAAAGCAGCAAATATTAAAGGTCTCGATCGAGCGATTTAGGAAGGACCCCTACTCCAATGTTCATAAGAAAGCTTAACATGCCCTATATACCCTTTATCTAACACCTGTATTCCAAGGTAATCCCTGGCTTATCTCCATAAGCTGAGGAGGGTTCCCAAGCCCCCCATCCAGGGTCTCCCCTCATAGGATGCGCTGCAAAAGTTTTTCGTTTGCACAACACGTTTCTGCACCCAATCACCAAGGTAGTTAGTGCTTACATACCCACTGGGCGAGGCCCATAACTATGCAACCTCCCGCTAGATTTTCCTAGAAGCTGAGGACTTCTCCCCAGCTTCGGCTGCGAGAGCGCGTGGCGATCGTGTCAATCTGCGCCTATGGGGAGGTATCCATGGGCTTATGGTTCAAGATTTAGCGTTCAGGGTGATGAGGGTCCGGGGCGTCCTTTTGGCGCAATGCCTCCTGCTATGCATTCTTTCTGATAGGTCACGCTGGCATTTGTGATATGTTTATCCAGAGGTTCTACGTAGCTCTTTTGTGGTTAGCCATGTACCAACAACCCACACAAGCCCAACAAAGGAACTACATAGTAGCCTCTCAGGGTTTGGGACTTGAAGGTCGGTTTTGCAAGCCACCCCCGTACTACCCGCCCGACAAGCAAAGTTCTCCCTCATGTAGGACTGTTTAGGGATGGTTTTGGCTGACTTAAGGATACTAAAGGGGAACCCCACCAGGGGGAGACAAGAGAGAGCACTTAGCACAACCTTAAGCGTTCAGAACCCAGCACGTTGTCCTTGACAACACCTCGTACGCTGCTGTCTCCATATGCAGACATTGAACTGCCATGACTAAATATCCCTCTTTGACAATGATCCCTACATACCCTACTCGCACCATGTGGGAAACCCCATGCAGATTCATTTGCATCAACGTCCTTTGGGCAGGGCATGAATAATTAGTGCCAGTAGAATTTCCCTTAGGATCAATGCCCGAATAGTCTGTAGACCACATAGTTTGATTGTGTATGATATAGTACCCAGACTGTTTAGGCTAAACTCAATAATGCTTCTGGATTTCACGCCGGACGCGACAGGAAGAGCCCGTTAGGGTCATTGGCACAGAGAATCACGAGTGCCTGGGTTGCATACCAGCTCAAATTCAGGGTTTACAGTTTTGATTTTGAGTACGGCCACCCGGCAAGCTACTAGTATCAGTGACATCTCTTGAGTTAACTCGCTAAACCCTGTGAATCCTACCTAGACCAACACCCAGTATAAACATCAGGATATATGCTCAACTCCACGGCTACGACCTCATCCAAATCACCAATTCGGCGCAGATCGCGCCGAACTTGGCATCGGGGAGGGAGCCTCAGCACAGGAAACAAACAGGAATAGGGTGTAGGGCTTTGTGGCAGAAGAGTTATTTTGGCTTTGGGGTTCAGAGTTGTTCAGGCTCCAGAGCGCACTCACAGTGCAGTGCTTATAGACTTGCTGAGGGGGCGGTTCCAATGAAGGGGCCCTGCGATAACAGGGACCACAAGACTCGCTAAGATCTGCCCAAACCTCCCAAGATCTAGTCTCCTAAGGTCTCATGCTACAGAACCCCCAGCATGGATTCATACAGAGGTAAAAGGGAAGAAGCTCGCATTTGAACCATCAAGAAGTTCTCCAGGAAACCGAAATCCCACCTGTGGCTCCATTTACCTTCGGGTGAGAGAGTTTTGGCTGAAACATAGATGTGGCAAATTACAAGCTTTCCCGATCTCACCCAGATTGCCAGTTGTCCCAAGCTGGCATTATTTCTTGCTCTAGAAGTGTTCTAAGTTTGCCAGAATCAAAAGGGAAAAAGCTGCTAAAATTTGCTGCTAAAGGAAAGGAGATTCAGGTATGATATAAGCATATAGGATAAACCAGCCTCAATCACTCGGATTTTGGGAGTTGAGGGTTCATGTTTTCATTTGGTACTTACACTAGGTTCCCTTTTTAGTTAGGAGCTCCCTTTAAGGAAGTGTATTCCCAATGGTCCATCCTATTGAAGGGGCCCTCAAAACAACACCCAGTGTCTTCTGGCTTTCACGAGCCTCTCCGTTGGAAGGCTTTAAGGTGTAGGTTATGGCTTAGGATTTACTTGTCACGCAAATTACTTGCATAATTAGGGCGTGGGCACTTACTCTATCAGCTTACAGGGAATTGGAGTTGCAGGTAGGCTTTATGCTGGTGTTTGGGTTTAGGCTCGGATGACGTGTGCGGCTTGAATATGCAGGGCCAGGAGCCGGAGGACTCAGCAAAACAACAGCGACAGTTGCAGGGTTGATGGTTATTGGTTGGAATTTTGCCCTATGGATTTTAGGATGCAGCTCGTGTAGGACTTTCAGGGTGCAGCCTTTAGTTCAAGGGAGTGTATGTCATCGGGTTTGCGGTTCTGGGGGCTTACGGTAGCGTCCGGGGCATGTATTTGGGCGTTGTGGGGCGCATTTGAATCGCCTGCAAGGCTTTAAATTTACAAGTTTCCACCGGCAATCGAATTGTCAAAGCCTTCCTCTCCCAAGAAACTCCTCTCCCAAGAAACTGCTGCCCACACACACCTCGCGTTTGCAAAGTAGACAACCGAGATGAGAGTTAAAGGCATACTTATATATAGCCCAACCTGACAAGTCGTAAATCTCTGAGCAACTCGGTTGCTGTTCTGGAGCTCATACATCAGGTTACCCGAAGCTTGCGCTGCAAATGCTTACCCAACCGCAAGTGCAGCACTTGGACCCGCAGGGCAATGGTCGACTTAATTGTCCGGTAGAAATTCTTTAGCCGTCCAGGTTAACATGAGACGCAAACTACATCAAACGGATAGCCTTGGAAATAAACCTACATGCCCCACAGCAAAGTCGAGCTCTGCCAAGGATGGACATCAACGACGGAGTCCACAAGCCTTTCTTTTGGAAGGTAAACGCGGCTTCTCGGACAAAGCTGAAAAAGGCGGTGAATGAACCAGCAATTTACTATATAGGGTTCAGGGTTTAGGGTCAACCTTGTCGGTGCTACTGCAGAATTCTGGTCTACCAACCAGCGGTACACCAAGAGCACTCCTATTCCAAACAAAGCCCGCTGCTTTCCTCTCGCCCTGCTTGCTTTGCACAGCCTACGAGTACGCATCAGCGCACCAATGTGTGACCCACCGTATTGATGCTGCTCCTGAAACTACCTACAATACGAACCAGTGCTCCATGAAGAGCATTAACTAGAGACCCATTCAGGGGCATAGTCATGATGAGACCTACACTTGCAGGTTCGGGGCGATTACAACCAAAGTATAACTGTACCTAGGACCGAATGACCTAAACTAAGTTATAACTGGGTTACAACTACACCTGGACTTGGGCTACAGTATGCCCTGAACCTCTAAGCAATGTATCTCAAGTCGAGACACACCAGGCCTTACTGCAGTCAGCAAGCAGCCCTGTCCAAACCGTTACCGAACACAAAAGGGGGTTTGCATGCTATATAGAGCATCATAATCCTCAATAGCATGCTCTAATCCCTGGTATCGGGAACCACAAAATGGAGCGCTCGCTTTCTGAAACCTTCACATATCCGGCAGCCCTCCATGTACATGCAACCAGCCTCGACAACAGATGCTAGAAGGAGGGCCTCACACTTTGCAAAGTTCTTTTGGGGTAGTAGGAAGCGACTGCTTACAACAGAACCAGAACAAACCCAAGCATAAATTACATAGGACAGTAGGTGCTGAGTATGTGAGGATGGGGCCTTGCATAGGTCTTTGTAAGTCGAAACAGGGTTCCCAAGGAATAGCAGAGAGTGTACAAGCGCTTTTTCGGGGAGTCAGGAAATGAGTATGAGCAACCTTGGCTAGCGGTGTATGTGTGAACTGGGGGTGCATGTGAATGTGCATACTTCATGGGCTCTATGTTGCGGAGATCCTTGAGGCGATTCGTGAGCGCAAAGCCCCGAACCCTAAACTGCTCGGTCATGTCATCATCTGAAACCTGAGGTTAAGAACGTGCTTGAGCAGCAGAGCCCGCGCTATGACTGGGTCCTGTGGATCGACTGCAGCTGGGTTTGCCCTTTAAGGTTCAGAGGGTTTAAAGTGGGTGATATATGCGGTTTACAGTTTTAGGGTCTGCGGTTGGGGGGTGTGGGGCTTATGGCTCACAGAGTTTAGGGATTGGGTTTGGGGCTCTTTGGCTTAGTCTTCGGGATCTGTAAGTGGGCCACATACGGCGATCCTGCCAAGGTTCCTTCTGAGGTGCCCACAACACAGCACCACTGTTGAGCTCATGAAAGCATCCGTAAACGCATCATGCTATGGGGGAGGGAATCTTGCATCGGTTAAGATCCTCAAAATGCTGCACTCTTGTAAGTGATAATGTATGCATTATATGGTGCAAGATTTCCTCCATCCACAGTAAGACCTACTGTAGGTTTCCGGATTGTGGGAACCGCTTGCATTAGAATTTGCACCCCGTAATATTTTGAGCCCCAAAGCCACCTAAAATTTGAAAAGCCCACAAATCTGAAGCCCGCCCAAATGCTTGGTCTAGCCAGCTGTGGGCTTCCTGTGACTCCGTCAACCTGTAGGTTGGATGTTGGGTTTTGAGCGGTCATAGGCAGTAAGTGAAGAGTGATGACTGCTAACCTGCAGTTAAAGGGAGTTGTACAGATAAACCTTGTAATTCATTGAATGTGTTTCGAGCAGCATTGCTCCTGTTTATCCGGCTCCCTGGAGTGTACGGCTCCCTGTACCTTATTTGCTCGTGCACAGAGTTTCCAACTCCACTAGGGGCTGAAGCCTAATCCCTTCTTCTTTGCAGACGAGCTATGGGCTACACGCTTAGTATCCCCCCTAAGACACCCTATAGTAGTCCCCGATAGAATCCCCTGTATAACCCCCCGTTTAGATTGCAGCTCAGCTGAGGTGATGCCTTCTTCATGGATCCAGGCTGGGTTTCGGGTCTCGGGCTTGAGGTTGGAGAGGCTTTCCAGGGCCAGAGGACCGGCGAGGTTTTGTTGGGGAAAGTATTATGGGGGGTAATGGAAACTACTAGTTGGGCACCCTGGGACGGGCCAAAACCGAAACCCTGAAACCCCGAACTCTTTTCCTTAACTTAACCCACAATAGGAGCCGCTGGGTAAGGCTGGGCGGGTTTCTCCCAAAATGTTCACATTTTTGGGTGGCTTTCCAGGAAGTTTAGCAGCTTCCTGGACCTCAAAAGTAAGAAGGCAAAACAATGACCAAACCCCGAGCAAGCCAAGAGGCGATTCTTCTACTTACCTGTGAGTTCCAGGTAGAGTTTAGAGTGTAGACTTCAGGGACATACCTGGCTAATTAAGCAACCAAAAGGCAAAAGTCGTTCCGATAATACTCGCTTCCGAGGCAACCCTAAACCCTGGATTCATCCTGTTCACGAGAAATTCCTTGCAGAGACGGTCCTCACGTTCTAGATTCTAGGTGAAGTAGAAGGTGAAAATGCAAGTTTCCTTTTAACCTTCTCCTTCTATGGGGTGCCTGCAATGAGACAGGCAACTTTTCAACTTTATACTTTGCCTCTAATCGGTCCGAGGAGGTGAGAAATTGAATGAGGTGTGCCCAATCCTTTTCTATCTCATTTGTTGAAGGTGGCACCACCCGCAATACCTCCATGTCAAGTCCACGTGGCTCCAAATACACCCAAACTAGCTCGAACTATCACCTCATCCTTATCAGTCAGCATGAACTTTGAGGCCAGAGAGGAGCTAGGTGGTGTGGAACTATCTCTCTCCATTGTACCTGGTGGATCGTATTTTCCACCTTATCGTGATCCATTTCCAGCTTATTGTTCGACATTATCACCTACCTGAAGAAATGTTGCACCTCATCAGTCAGCATTGAACTTCCAATGCATCCAGTTAAGGAAGGCTCCTTCAATCTGCTTCCCGTGTCCAAACAGCCCAATGCAGGCAACATTTATAGACTTTGGGGCCCGACGTAGGCACCCTCTGGCCTGAACCCTGAATCCTTCACCCTACTTATAGACTTAGAGTCCTAATGCATGTAACCCGTCTATACAGACATATCTCCAATGTCCGTGTCATTTTCCGTTTTCTTGTCCATTTGGTTCTCCTTTATGCTAACCAAGCTGTAAACCCTATGACACACACAGATGTCTTGTGCTTTTAGTTCGAAGAGTTGCTTCGAAAAGATTGGGCTCAGGGCTCGTAGATTAAGCTGTTCATATCATTCGCGTCTGCTACCGGCCACACCACCTTCGCTTAGCAGAATGGGTGACGTACTGCCGTACAATCTTCGTCAATCTCGGTTAGGCTGGCTCCCAACAAATTGCAAGGGCCGATATGTAGTCTTTTTTCGTGGTGTACCGGTATAACCTAATCCTTTTCATAACAAGCTTAAATTTACATCGGAACCCCTCATACTCAACCAAAGACGTGAAATGCTGGGTTACAGTCCTCCGGCTGGATTTGAGGCTTGCGAGCCTTGCTTGCTTTGTAAGTTTAAATTAGAGGTAGGCTTCAGGGTTTAGGGTTTTATGCTTAATCCCCAAGTACTTGCAGTTCAATAGAAACCCATAAAAGTGTAGGTAGATGGGTTACAATTAGGGTTCAGGGTTCAATTCAGGGTTTCGACTGGGTTCGGTGGATTCGGCAGGCCGAACAATCGACTCCGTCATCAACATGCTGCCTGGCTTTCCCACAATTTAGGGTTAAGGGAAGGTTACGGCGCTGGCCAAAGTATGACCACGGCAACCGACCTCACCCCAAATGGCAGCTTATACTGAGAATAACACCTATATGGCCTTTTTGTGGGGAGTTAAAACTACTGTAGTCTCCCTTGATTCATGAGCTGGAAAGTTGGGTTTCCAGGTATAACATGGAATTGGTCCCTTTTGGGTATCTTATATGCGAAGGGCCGTTTTATGTGGGTCACCCAAGTAGGGACCATAATTGTTGAAAACCACGCATATGAGTGCAGAATCCAAAAGTGCATTTTCCCTGGTCAGAGTGTTGCCGAGAATAGTCCGGACCCTAGAATCTTCAAGCTCGTTGCAGTACTAGCTGTAATCTTCAACAGCCCCAGGAACAAGTCTCACGTCTTCATTTAATTAAGGCCCTCAGAGGAACACCTCCTTACGCCAACTCTTGAATAGTCGCTATTGCTTCCTCGTTGTCCCCCATTTTACGCTGCCTCATCCTAAGGTTTCTCCTTTACGTAGGCATCTTGAGGGCTAAATAAGGCTAATCCGTCAATGAAACAAACTCCTCGGAGGCCCAAATCTAAAGTGAGTCATTAGAAAATCCACCTCTCCCCTGGCGCCCATAAACTTGGCCCAAATTCCTAAACACCCAAAACCTCAACTCTAGACTTTAACCCTCTACAATGGATCTTGAATACTGCAACCTGAACCTGCAATCCTACATCCTAAGCCATGAACTATGATTTGTACATGCTAAGCCTTGAGCTCAAAACCTTATCCTACATCCTAAGCCCTAAACACTATCCTAAACCCGAAGCCATACGTCCTAAGCACTAAGCCCCAAATCGCACACCCTAAACAGCCCTAAGCCCTACTTCCCACTGTTCAAGCCCCGAACCCTAAATCCTGCATGAACCTCAAGCCCTAAACCTTGTATTCCAAATCCCTATATAACCTCGCACCCTAATTCCTGAGGCCTAAATCCTATCTCCAGCTTCAAACTTTTTGGACCTACTACCACGTGTCACTGGAATTATAACCCGGCTTATGAGTAGGGTAACCTATGTCAGTAAAGAATTATCAGCCCAGTCACAAGTAGGTACAAAGCCACATGAACCTTCAAACAAGCCCCGAACCCTAAACCCAACACCCCTCTGCCGTAAGGTATTCCGCCAACAGCACCGCAGCCTCACGCCTTGGGCCAAGGCATTTTGGGTTCTGAAGGTCTGGAAAATCTTCGTTTACCTACATGAGGAGTCTCTTCAGAAGGGTTATATATGGCTTATGTAAACAAGTTTTGTATATATGTATATCTTTATATATGTAGGGGTTAGGGCTGCAGGCTTCCACAGATTTGTCTGGGGGGGTCCTCACAACAAGGATTATACTGGCTATGGTCTATATTGGCTACCCTCCATGTGTGGAATGATCTAGAGTTTAAAGTGTCAGGGAGCTGGGGCTTCAAGGTATAGGGTTAGGGATTAAGGGCTGTCCGTACTAAGAGTTATAGCTTCCAAACTCTGATGGTGGCAGTTGCCAGACTTCCCTTAGAAGGCTTAAAGATCTCGCGTCTTAGCGACATACGGACTTACGAGCTCATGAAGACATGAAACCACAAAGCCCTTCTATTTGGCCCTCTCTGATGGCGATGATGACGAATTGAACTGGATGGGTTACACCACGCAAGGACTGAAAGGAACACAGCAAACAATAGGCATCAAGGTTTAGGGCTTAAGGCTTAGGGTGTGGGCCACTGCAGTGTGGATTTTGTGGAAGATGTTGCCAAACCTGGGAAGCAGGATGAGTGAGACCAGGCTTCTATGGGGCCTACCTCTATCGAGAGCGAGGAATACAAATGCGTTCTTCAACCCTTGAAGCCCTCGAGGCAATGGGGCGAGAGCCCGGAAGTCTCGCAGCTACGACAGCGACTTCATCCTGTGGCATCTCCTGAGGCGTGGATGCTGCTGGACTTAGAATGTGTTTAAAATATCTAGGTTTGAGAGCTCACAGGGGGAGAAGGGTGGGGAGTTTTAGGTCTAAGCACAGTACTTTGGGCGTCTAACGGTGCTACAGTACCTGCTTCCACAGCGATCTGAGGATGTTCCAGTGAGATTGTTTCTTTGGGTCGTGCGGGCCTCTGAATGGGCCCAGGAAGCCTACCTGGACCCTCCGTGCACGCGAAAGAATGACCACAAGCCGAATTTGCATGAAGACCAGCCAACATTTTCAAACCAAAGCAGTCCTTTTCCTGTGGGCGCGCGCGCGCGCGCCAGAGGCAAAACGCACAAATGCTGCAGTGTTCCAGCTGCGTAGCGGATTTTAACAAGAGGTGTTGTTCCTGGCGCCATGACAATTGGAGGTGATAGGTCAGGGTTTTCAGCTGTTTCCACGAAGGCTCAGACCGGCACATTCTGGATTTTTCCATCTAATTCCGCCTTTGTTCCGACCCTTGCCGCCTTTTTCTTCCGGCTTTCATGGCTTGACTTCAGGTTTCCGTGTTGCTTGACCTTGGAAATTCAGGGTTCCAGCTTGTGGCTTCAGAGTTTTCTTGTCTCTAAATTCAAGAATAACACGAAGAAACATGCCCGCAAATGTTTTCTAGCTGATGCATTCACAAATCATTCTTTGGCCATTTTTCAGCAGCCTGAACCGAATTCCGCCTCGCGGGCTGTTTTCGAGTCTACTTCTTGAAAGAGGCCGTGTTTATGAAATTGCTGTTTTTGCACATCGTTTGGAGGCTCCAGGTAGGCTTGTTGGGGGGAGGGTACGTCTGCAAACCTGAGCTCCATAACCGGGTAGCAGTGAAACCCAGACTTGACAAGCTCATCATTCCTCATGGATCTAGTGTTATGTCATGCCACGCCCCATATCCGTCATCCAGGGGGCCTTAGGGGGATCCTAAATGCGGACACTTGTAGCTTACGGGGTAATATGCAAATAGGATTCGAGATCCCTTCAACATGCGTCTAACTGCAGCTACTGTAGGCGAACTGTGCCTGGAGCAACCAAGGAAGCCATCTTGAAACCAAAGTTTTGTACCTGGCTTTGTCCGTAAGAACTTCTTATCCTTATCGTTTCAGGCGTGTAGGGTTACTCTAGGTATTATTTGGGGACACAGTTCCGAAGATTGAGTAAGACTGCATTATGCTTTGGGCTTTCCGAGTAGGAACACAATCTTATTAGGTTCTACCAACAATGGGCGAGTCTCATGTGAGCTACTGTATATTCCCTACTAGGAACCCATTAATATTTCCACTAATGACGTTGACTTTATTGACTGTAGCTCCCGTGTAGTCCGCAGGTGTCGCTGGTAGCCTGGGCCTCGGGTGCGTGCTCGTGCAGATGGTGTGGATCAGGTATACCTGAACCTTCCAAGGCAGCATTTCCAGCTGTCGTGTAATGCGAACTTTAACACCCAAACCCTATACCCAAACCAAGGAACTACACTGGAGAATGCAGGTAAAGTTTGACAGCATTGCGATTGAGGGTTTGCGGGTGTTAAAGTTTTAACGTTTATTGGTGTTGAGGCTTGGGGGCTGAGACGTATTTTGTGGAGTTAAGCGTTCTGACTGTGAGTGCTGGATGTTTAGGTGTGCGGGTTTCAGGTTCAGGGTTTTCGGGTTTGGGCTTCGGGTCCTGGAATTACACTCAGCTGCATGCATTCTACATCGTTTACTTCCGAGTCAAACCACAACCCTTCGCCGCCTAAACCCCGAACGTTTCTGGGAGGTATGGTTAGATACGCAAGACACGGTCTAAGCATGTCCAGATCAGGTAGAAGAAGCTGAACCCTACATGGAGGTTGAGGGTACCTGGAGCTATGACCAAATGAATGAAGAATTAGGGTCATAAACTACTTATATACTTATGACCCACTTGTGGGGACTTAGGGGGCCTTAGAAGTGGCTGAGAAGCACAGCTTTAATTGGGCTAGGATGGGTACAACTGGGTCTTGATTATCGTATTACTCCAAGTAAGGATTTATCTCTGAACCCTCAACCCTCGAATGAGTAAAACAAGAGTATGATTCAGTAGCAAGCCTCGCTTGCCCCTGCTCTAAGCTAGAGGCCGGGAGAATGACCAAGAGCATCCCCTTTTAGTCTAATCTGAAGTACCTGTACCCTCAAGACCCACTTGAATTATTTTTGATGCCTTTACAGTATGTGAGTGTTGGGCATGGTAATGGTCCAGATGTCTGCGTTTGGTTTTGGGCTTGAATGTTCAGGGTCAGCCCACACTAAGTTCGAAGCCATAAAGCTGAGATTTTAATCCCGAAGCTGGAGCCCAGAACCCTGAGCCTGGAGTTAGAGGTCTTCGACATATTTTGGCTCTTGAACTTTTCAGTTCAGGTGGCGACAGACTCTTCCGGCATCAACAATGGTGTGCTGCCTGGCAGTCTCGGATGTGGGAGGTCCAGTTCAGGATTTGATTTACATGCAGCATTTAAGGGACAATTTCATGGCCAAGAGTAGTACCCACAACTCCTGGTGCCCGGATGTTGGTGCACTTTTTTTGGGTATCATACGGAACCTTTTCTAAGTTACTTGGGGTCCGAGGTAAGAATTGCAGCCATGGTCAAGATTTGATGAAGCAGTCGGTCCGTGTAACTACTCCTAAATCCTCAACATAGAATCTCCCATGTAGTTCCTGTATTGTTTGTTGGTATGAGGTGCAAGCTTCAACCCTAGGTCCTAGGCCCAAAAATCCTCAAACCCAAAGTGGACAGCATGTAACCCAGAGGGCGAACTATAGAGGTAAAACTGGAAGTGCGCAAGCCATGGTGGTGCCGATCCATTCACTTCTTGGGGCAGAAGCATGTACCACATATGTGTCTGGAACCCTCTCTTGGGGGTCATTGTTGCTCCTGGAACCCTCAAAGTAAGGGAAGGTAGGACCCAAGACCTTCTTGTGCGGGCACAGAATTTTGTGTTTACGGTACCATGGCCCTTCAGGTAGCCACAAATGATCCGCCGTTTAGAATCTACTCTTCGTCAGGAAATTCGCCCCTGGACTGTTGAACCCTACCCTTATGGTCCATGTTCGAAATTGCAAGTATGGAGGCAGATGTGTATCGTTTCGCAGCCCTGCAGTATATGAGTACTTGAACTCTACGCCCACCTTGCAAGGAATTCAAGGGGACCAGGTCTATCAAAGGAGGTTTGAGGTGGCTAGTTTCCTCCACAAATACATTCAATTCTCCCAATCCAAGCCTCACGTAGGCATTGTCTGAGGGTACCTGCCTGGCAACTCCCACAGCCCTTAAGCTTGAATCAAGGCTGATGCCATTCATTTTGAGTAGGCCGCCTACTTTTCTACGCGCCACAAACCTTAAGGACAAAAAAGATAGGGAAGACACCACAAGGCAGAGCCTGACGTCCTGGGGAGTCCTACATCACATGTTTTTTTCCTGGTTCGGGGGGCTGCAGCCCTGAACGTTGTAAGCAAATTTCTAGCGGGTGGTTTCTTCCCTAGAAGCCTCGCAAGTCTCACCTGGCCTTTGTAAACCCCCTAGTCTTCCCATCAGAGCCTTACATAAGCTGTGCATATGGGTAACCACCTGGCATGCATGTCCTTTCCTGAAAATTCCCTACAGCATCGGTTCAGCCGAGGTGGCTGATGAAGAATACTCCCTGGTCTCACGACTTCCTGGCACCTCGCATCTCCAATCTTGCCCCTTTCAAGGACTCCCCAACTCTCCATAAATGCTGGGATCTATGCAGGTTCCATTTTGGACTTCCTGCTGCCTAGATTCTCCAAGCTCAATGCACCTTAGTAGGCCTTGAAGCATAGATGGGACTCTAGTGCACCTTGTTGTATTTTCTGCGGGGAGTTAATGGGCTTATACGTGGGGAAAACGTACAGTTGTAATTGGGTTCTAGTTATCTTGAACCTCCAAGTTCTGCGCTGGCTTGGGTAGAGATCTCATGGTTTTGGGTTGCTGGGGAGTTTACGATCTGTCTGAATCTTGGGATCATGCTTTGTTTGTTTAGATTCAGGGTAGTCGTCTGTGCTGGTAGCTATCAGGTTGTGCATGAGCCCTGCATTGTGAAAGCACCTAGTCATATAGCTGTCGGGATTGTACATTCTTACAGCAGAGGGTTAGCGATTCCTCTTCAAAACTTGCTTCAATTTCAACCAGGGAGCTATGAGATCGCGTATGCGTAAATCACAGCCGCTCCCCGCCACTTGACCTAGGTGCGATGGTGGCACTCGGATATTCTGCATCTCAGCGGCCTTAGCATCTCTTGAACTTGTTTTTTGCTTGCGGTCTAGCTACCCCTGGCATATAAGTTGGGCTTGTGGTGGAAATGGTTGCCCCGCTTCTGTGTCTTATTGTCTGACAGTCTGACAGTCTGCTACGCGGTTCAGGCCCCATGGTGCGACCTCAATCTACATACACACACATACACACATGAGTGCCTGTATATACATATATGGTACCCCCCCCCCCAAAGATCCACTTTTTTATATGCATTGATAGTATTTACCATATTTGAGGTCTCAATTCTGAATCAAATCACCTGCTGCAGCAAATTCCATTAGGTCAAGGCGCGACTCCGGAGATTTAAAGAAATTGAATTTCAATCCGTGGAACCCAAGATCCAAGGTTCCAAAATTTCTAGGAAGTCTTACAGAGCAATCTTGGACTCCAGGGTTAGGAGATTGAAAAAGATTAAAAAGATTGAATTTCAATCTCTGGAATCCAAGATCCAAGATTCCAAGATTCCCAGGAAGTCTTTCAAAGCAATCTTGGAAGCCATGGTCCAGAGATTGAATTTCAATCTTTTCAATCTTTTTTAATCTCCTAACCCTGGATTCCAAGATTTCTCTGAAAGACCTCTTGGGAATCTTGGAATCTTGGATCTTGGATTCCAGAGATTGAAATTCAATCTTT